GGGCCAGACAAGCTGTATTTATTTCCAGTATCTTACTTAAACTGTTCTTTTGAAGGTCACTGACTATCTCCTTATGGAAATTTATTGTGAAACTTTTTTCTTCATTAGTCTCAGCAGCATATGTCAGGGATGGTGACTTCTTCCTGCTTGATACTCCATTCTCACTTGCTTTTGGATACCGTACTCTTCTGATTCTTCTTCAACCTCCTTAATTGTATCCTCACGATTTCTTTAATAACCATTTCCACTTATCCTGCTATTAAATTTAAGGACCCTTTCTTTTCTTTTTAAATGCTCTCCCGCGGAGAGCTGACAGTTTCATGGCACTGCCTATCACCTCTATGCCCCCACCTCCAAAGCTGATCATCTTTCCCTGGGCTTTGACCTTCACATCTCTGTCAAATGGATGTCTTCATTTGTATTTCCAGTCGTCACATTGAATTCAGCGTCATTTGGTTCAGTTTGTCACACTGTCCTTCCTGGAGTGAACTGAAGCTTTCTCCCCATTCTCTTGGGCTTCAAACTTCAGAGTCATCTCTTGATGTGCGCAGTGGAGAAGAAGCTAGTGAGTTTTATCAGTTCTTCCTTTGAAATGTCCCATAATATCCGTCTCATCCCCTTCTTGTTAGTTGTAGCCCAGACCCTTGTTACTTCACGCCTTTGCCAATTTCTCTTACTTGAGCCTCTCTGTTCTCCCAATTGTTTTTCTTAAAAGAACATTCTCCGTTCAAAACCCACCACAGTTCATCTTTCCAACAAGTCTAAACTCCTCTGCCTTGCTTCAGTGCTTGTGATAAGTTAAGCCAACTCCACGAACAAACACTTTCCATAGCTTCCAGATAGGAGCCTTGTGCCTTCATCAGCAACTCTTGGGCTCTTGCCAGGCTCATGTGTCCTGTTCACATTGTTTCCCTAATTTAGAATGTTCTTCTCCTTACCCACCTAATTCCTAGCCATCCTTTGAGGTCAGGGCCCATCTTTTCCATGAAACCCCCTCTAACTCTGGCATTCAACGCTGTCTCCCATCTCTCAGTACCTATGGCATTCCTAGCCCATTCCTCACTGAAGCTCTCAATTACATGCAGCACATTTTATTTTTAAGTTGTTTATTCTTCCCCAGTCAGATGGTAATCTCCTCCAGGGCAGGAACTTAAGACAATGTCCGACCATTTCCATGCGCTTGCTCTTGTTACGGGAGCTTAGGAAGACTTCTTAGTCTGACTGAAGATGAAGTCTGATAATCACGAGTGTGATCATGTTGTCAACACATAAATGTGAAGATGACCTACATTTTATAAATGTTCACAATGTCCCAAGCTCTTCCATGCACATTTATTTGATTTTTTACATGGCAAAAAGTCTCTTCATTTTTCACATGAGGACCCTGCAGCTTTGGGACATGGGATGACTTGCTTAAAAGCTCACAGGGCTGAAAAGCTAGAACTCTCCACTAAACCACAATGCTTTCCATTCATTTTTGAATTTCCAGTAAGATCTAACTGAACCAGTGTATATGGGAGTAATAGAGACTATGATTCTACCCACCTCAGCTTATTTAGGTTCTAACGTAGAAATGTCCGGAGCAGAGTGTGATGTGTCTTGTGTTCAGTCTCAGTGCTCCCTGCCCAGTGAAATGCATGAGCATCCATTCAGTTCTTCAACTCAGAAACTAGAGTTGTCTTCAACATTGCCCCTTCCCTCGCCTTCCCATGTCCATTTCACCATGAAACTCAATTTTATTGCTTCCATTTCTCTTGACTTTCTCTACTTCCCTTCATGTCTCCAGCACCTTAGTCCAAGCTACCAACACTCACTGCCTCTTCAAGAGTCTCCTTCCAGCTGCTCTTATCCTCCCCTATTTGTTTTCCAATTAGAATAAGCTTTTCTGGTGCAAATCTGAGCGTGCCCCCCATTCCCAAACACTTTAGCAGATTTTTAAGCACCTATATGACATATCCCCAAATCATTTAAAAAATTTTTTTTAAAGATTTTATTTGAGAGAGAGAGAGAGAGAGAGCACAGAGGGAAAGGAAGAGAGCAGAGAGAGAGGGAGAAGCAGACTCCCCAGTGAACAGAGAAAGCAGAGGGTACAGAGAACACGATGATGTGGGGCTCAATCCCAGGACCCTGAGATCATGACCTGAGCCGAAGGCAGACACTTAACCGACTGAGCCACACAGGCATCCTGGGCATATCCCCAAATCTTCAGTATGACCTATGATACTTTTCATGGTCCGACTCCATCTCACTCCACTTTCTCTCTAGGTCAGATCCATTCATTCAGTATCTCAGATATGCTTGTTACCTCCTATCATAGGCTGTTTCCTTTGTCTGGAACACTGCTCCCCCTCCTCCTCCCCCAGTTAACTGCTATCCATCCTTTATCTCTTACTTCAATGATGTTTTCCTCCAAAAGGTGTTCCTTGATTTTGTTGATCAAGGCAAATCTCCCTAGGACATATGATCTCTCAGCATCATGCAACTGTCCACCATCAGTTGAATTTTTTATTTACTTTTGCGATTACTGGTGATTTCTGGTTAATCTCTCTCTCTCTCCCACTGCACTCCAAGTTCGCTGAGGCAGGGATAAGTTCAGCCCCTCACACAGACCTGGCATATAATTAAATGTTTCAAAAGTATTTGTTTAATGGATGACTACATGAAGGAATACTCTCTACTGATGACTACTGGTCATTTTAGTCTGGGTAATGGTTTGATGTCAGTTTGTGGATAACCAACTTCAGTTGACTCTTACTACCACTGTGCCAACAATACTGGAAACTTGTGGCTCTGTGATAAGTGAATGAGTGGACAAATCTACCATCGGCACATTGTCACAGTCACTCCTCACCCCTACTTAGCACATGGCTTTAAGTCCTCAGCATCATGTTTGTTTATGATGAAGAGCTACAAACGGAAATTCTCAATTCTGTCCTAGTGGACAATATAAGCATAGATGTCTCAATACTTTGCAGATGTTGAGGCTGAAAGTTCAGCTCAAAACAAAGAAATGCCATATTGAAAAAGTAACCGGAAACTAAGAGCAGATATAGATATGCTAACTTGTGTTTGAGACAAAGTGCTCTGAGCCTGGCACATTGTTCTAATGATCTCTGGCATATGGCAGAGCACAGTAAGAGGTGGGTCTGGCTTGGAGTCCATTCATGTGCATTTCTTTCTGAATTATCCAGAGGGCCTTACTATAAGGCACCGTCACCTTTAAGACCACGGTATAACATGGGCTTTGAGGGTAGTACAATAAACAAACTGTATATTTTCAATAGGATAACAAGAAGAAATGGCTGCTCATCAGATTTTTCAAATGTCATTCGAAAGGGTCAAAATTCTTATGGGTATGTGCAAAAGACAATTAAAAGATAGATTAAAAGATGGAGAATAATTACCTCTCTTGAGTAGAAGACTCAAGGGTATAATGACTTGCTGGAATAAATCTTAGAATGTCATTTATTTGCAAAATGCTACCAAGTAGCTGGGTAATAATTCACAGAATTCATAAAGCATTAGAAGACTACTGCCTTAATGGAGTTTTTTTTTCCTATTTCACTTATTAAGATCGCCTTAATAATTCATGCATGGCAATACCTTTAACGAGCAACAAAATCTCACGTATCTCATTTAAACTTGGCAACTCTACTGACAGTTAATATAGTCTTGTACCGCTGAGCCAGCAATTGCAGAGAAGCCCTAGGCTGTTAGCAACTGAAACCAGCCCATTTATGATAAACCCAAGAAAAGTTATGTCCTAGATGAATAGTTGAATTTTATGATCATTTGCTAGGAAGATTTATTCATTCTTCATTCGTGAGGAGGTAAGAGAACAATAATGAGCCCAAACTGTAACTCCTGTTCCACATGGTTGAACTGGTTGCTTTGCTTCTCTCTTAATGGCAACAACTGATTGCCATTTTGTTTTTTGGAGGGAACAGGAATTCCTATCAAGATTTTGAAGCTTCCCTATGATTAGCACCTACTTAGTGAAAAGAGAGAGGGTCGTTATCCACTAGGCAAGGTGAATTCTCTGTTTTACTCAAAGCATTTACCAGGCAAATTTATGAAGCCGCCGTCATTTCTTATAGGCACAATGCATGATGCATTCATCATTGTTTTTCATATAAAAAGAATGATCCAGGTGAAAATTTCCAAGATACTCTTGAAAATAAAATTTCAAAAGCAGACAATAATTTTAATACACATTTATTTGCTGTATCTATTTGATATGACACCACCCACTGCTATATCTACAGTAGTCTGACTGAACAGAAAGCAGACTCCATTTAAATCTGCTCTGTATCCAACGTGCCTGTTCTAAATTTAAGTGAATCAAGTTGGCGATTCTCGCTGATTCAGCCACTGTTTTCTTACAGATGCCATTTTTTCAAAATATTAGTTAAATGGAAGTCAGTATAGGCCTGGCTTTTGGGAAAACACAGAATGATGTCACCACAAAAACTGGTTTCTACTTCGCTTTAAGTGTTTTTTTTTTTAAGAAAATACATTTTAAAATTATTTATTTATTTAAGTAATCTCTACACCTGACATGGGGCTCAAACCCATGACCCTGAGATCAAGAGTTGCATGTTCTTCCAACCAAGCCAGCTAGGTGCCCTGCTTTTTTTTTTTTCTTTCTTTTTTTTTTAAAGTAAGCTCTATGCCCAATGTGGGGCTTGAACTCATGATCCCGAGATCTAGAGTCGCATGCTCCACTGACTGAGCCAGCCAGGCACCCCCTATTTTGCTTATTTTTTTTTAAAGTAAACTTTATGCCTAATGTGGGGCTCAAAGTCACAACCCTGATATCAAGATTCCCATGCTCTACCGACAGCCAGTCCAGGTGCCCTTGTTTTGCTTAGTAATTCGAGCCTGGCCATACCATCAACAAGTAACAAAATTGCATGTATCTTATTTAAACTTGTTGTCCTAAAATCCAACATGCCAAATAATATCAAATTGGGGTTCAATACATGCAGAAGCATCCATACCTTGTATAAGGAGGGAGGGGCAGAGTGATTCTGGTCCATTTGTTGAAAGTGTCTGACACCAGGATCCGCTGCAGGTGATAGCGGCTACATTCAACATTGGTAGGTAGACAGTCCCTTACCAATGGGTGCCATGATAATCCAAGATCTACCGAGTATTCCAATTCAATAGCTGGAACAGGAAACGTTATTCTGAATAGAAATACATGTATGCAGACCCAGGAACCATAATTACTTATGTTTTCTTATGTTTTAATTCAAACATCAATTTGATTTTTCCTCTGTATTTATGTTTCCTATTTTGAAATGTTTCTTGGTTAGATTTTTCCTTCTGTACATTACTAGTTACTATTTTTCACTTTCCAGATTAAGATAGTTTTACTTTTAAGGGGCTAGAATCAAGTGAAATATAAAGTAAATTTTCCTGAATCACTCTGTTATACTGAGAAACTTTCAGAACAATCATAACAAAACCATTGTTCATATGCAGGTAAGCAATAGTAATGGTAGTTATATATATATTTATTGTTTAATGGTTGCAGTATATTATGAAATTATACAAATTATATATATGTACTATAACAACTATACTATGTCTATTTATTTCATGGTTAACATGCAAGTACAAACATAGTAACCATATATTTTAATGATTACTTTTTAAATAGTTTAAAAAAATTGAGCAACTTTCTCAAAATTTGACCATTCCACAGGGATCCTGACCAACAATGCCAATTTTGCTCCTGCTATAGGTAAAACTGCTTAGAAATGGCAAAATCCCTTGTGCTCACATATCCTGCTCTGCTGTGTTATAGAATATACTGGGAAATCAGCGAGGTATAAGGAGGTAGCCGGAGGCCTTGCAATTTGTGCCAAAGCATGCAGTCAGGCCTTGGGTCTAGGAAAAGCAAATCTTTCTTTCTTTTTTTTTTTTCTGAAAAATCCAACTTATAACCTGTGTTTCATATTCTTCTTTATTTCCTGCTTCAAGTCTATAAACTGCTCGAGCCCCGACCTCCCTACTTAAATTGCTTTCTCTAAGGTCGTGATTCTCAATCTTGGCTGCACACTGAAATCACCTTTAGAAACCACGAATGCCAGGGTCCCACCCCCAGGGACTGTGATTTCACTCTTCTGGGGCACAGCCAAGGTGTCCGGAGCTGTGCCGCTTCCCAGGTGATTCTCATGTGCAGTCAGCGTGGGACCACTCACTGCAGCACGGTTCCTAGCAACACTAGAAAGTGAAATACAGTGGTCCAGCTCAGTCTTCATTGTTTTATCCTTCCTACAGCGGTAGACATCATTGATTATTCCCTGATTCTTGAAACTTTCTTTTCTTTTGGAGGACATTATTCTGAATCTCCTGTCTTACTTTCCCTCTGACTCCTGTGCTAACGAGCTCAGCTATGGGCATTCTTCCAAATTCCATTTCTGGCTTTCTATTCTCTGTGTATACTCCTTGGGCTTCAACTATTATCCCTGTGCCCAGATCTGCCAATTTTATGTCTCCAATTAATTTCCTTCATTCAATAAATGTTTACTCAGCCTGGCATTGCACCGGATGTTGGCATATTGCGATGCACCGTTTAGACAAAGTTCCTGCTTTCTATCTCGTAAATCCTCCTCACTCAAGGACATCTCCACTTAAAGCTACTTGCACCCAAACTAAAGAAAAACTCACCATTTTCCCTCATAAATAAACATCTCTTCTTAACTACCAAATTCTATCAATGGTGATACTTTTGCACTGGTCTTTCTGGGTTCAAAGTTTAGAAATTATTTTAGAAATTTTACTCTTCTCTTTTTTACTCTCGATGTTCAAACTGGCACCTGGTTTTGAGATTTTTCTGCTTCTTTCCTTTGTGCTTGCATTGTCTCATATCAGTTTTATCCACCCCATTTTTCTTTAGGCCACACAGGGAGGACTTCATCACCTCCTACAGAGAGGACCACTGAGGCTTCTTTATTGGCATACCCACCTTCATCAGCTCCTGGGCTAATCGCCCTAAAACAGACCGTGTCACTCCTCTGCTCTTGTGCCCCTTTATTCATGTCCTTGTCAAGCACAGATTCTTGTATGTGCCTTTTAAGGCTCTTCTTCCTTAGCTGCAAACTCTGCTTATCCACTTTCCTCTTTGATTTTATCATTCAGTTCAACCTTTCTCCAGAGGTTGCACCAGCACGCAGTAGAAAGTACACAGGACTGGGCTTATGAAAGCAGAGTGTCAGTCCTGGTGCTGCTGCAGGCCTACTGGGTCATAGCTTACCTCCCTGGGTTCTCATCACCTTCCTATGCTACTGAGGAAAACAGGTATCTAGGACCCTAACATCCTTTTCTATTTTCAAAATCAGCACTCTACTCTCCTCCACTAGATGAAAATATTGCCTATTTAGGCGGTCTGCCCATGGGTTTTTCCTATGGACTAGGAGCACCCCTACCTCTGCTTCTTTGCTTATGCTGCTAGCCTAGCTTGGGATGTCCTTTCTTCTCCATCCACCCTTCAAATCCATTCCAGTCATCAATGCCCACTTGAGACTAAGCTTCTTTGTGAGACCTTCCCCAGATCCGGGACTGGCCATCCACTGGTCTTCTCATTCTCCTCCGAGCTTTCATTACATTCTGCATCAGTACCAATCCACAGAGCACTTGATTTAGTCACCTATTGGACTCTGACTTTTTTAAAAGTATCCCCTCAATTAGACCTATTGAAGACAGATGTGTACCTTATACTTATCCAAGTTCCACTCCTGTTGACTAGTTTAGTGTTGACTGATTGAATCTGAGGTAGCAAGAGCATTTCTGGGAGCCCCCCTAAGATATGTCCTTTAAGTTCAAAGTAAAGAAAATATGAAAAATCTGGATTTTGCAAGACCTTGGAAGTAACCAAATTCGTCAGATGTTGGCCCCCTGGAATCTAAAACAGGACAAAGTCCTTGTGAACATTCTCATCTGCATCTCTTAGAGGAAGAATGATATGGGGTGGTTAAAGACCAGAACACCCCCAGAATCCCGACAGGCTTGCAAGTTACAGTGAAGGGTCCAAGGACGAAGTGATGTCAGTCTTTATATCTCCTAAGATAGGTGTGTCTATGTTTGTGTGTTGTGTGTGTGCGCACACACGCACGTGCAAGGTATGTAAGTTTGAGTGTGTGCGTGCACAACCTAGAGGATGCAAACTGGTCACAATGAGGGTGGCCTAGAACATGCTATGACCCCGAATGGCAAAAACTATAAGACAGAATGGGAACAACAAAATTTCATGATTCCTGGAGCGATGGAAAGAAGACAGTAGCTGAACTAATATAAAGCCCTATGAATTAAAACCCATGTATATACAAATTCATGTGTAAATCCTATTGCTGACTCTGGCATTCTCTATGTGATGAGAGTCCCTAATTCTGCAGATCTGATGGTAAAAGAAAAATCTGGATTTAAAAAAAAGACAAATTAGGCGTTATTATTTATATGTAAAGAAGTCTTCAAGTACTTAAAAATAAGTTCACATTACGAGGCTTTCTTTAAAAAAGAGACCTCTAAAACTTAATATATACACACATTTTCAAGAATGCGATCATGGTTTGACTCACGCGCACTTCTGTTTTACTTACAGACTTGTGAGAGGTGCCACAGATGCCCATTTGCACACGTCTGTCTCTCTACCTGGCGATGGAATACTTACCATAGCAGGAGTCCGTGACCGAGCAGGAGGCAGCAAAATCGATCTGCAGGAATGAATCGTCATTCACGGCGATGTCTGTGGTGACCACGTAGCGGGTGCTGGCCTTTTCGATGAAGACCAGGGCGTCACCAGTGGAGCCACACACGGGCATCTTGGTGCCTCCCGGGTGGAGCAGCCATTTCCTACTATCCAGGTTTGTGAAATCGTCCTCCAAGACCGTATTGCCAGAAATATTTCCTCCAATAAGAATCTGAAAGGTATTTTTTTAAGAAAAAGAATTTTCAATATGGTTTCAAGATAGGAGAGAGTTCGGTCTTCTTGTTTGTTTGTGTTTCTCTATCAGATCACTCAACACGGGCGTCACGCGGCGAGCATACTGTCAGGGGCCTTTCAGGATGCTTTTGTTTGTGTGGTCTGCTTGCCCATCTGGCAAGAAGCGGCAGAAAACAAATCGAAGTATTGACAAAACCATTCACAGCCTTCATGGGCCAAACTGTGCCTTTGCAAACTACATGCGCCCAAGCTGGGAAAGCAAAATTTGCTTACATGTGATTATTTTCCAAGTGAAATTTCTATTTAAGGACAGTTGTATCCTAAGGCATTTCAGTTGCAGTTCTTCGCCTGGATTCTACCGTTTGTTAACAGGTTCTTTGAGTTCTATTTGACACGCATTTTATTATGGATGAAGATCCTTTAGAACTGTCCATAAGGACGTTAGGAAGATTTATTTATTTCTTCCTCAAAGGCTAGGAAAGAGGATTTGGAAGCGAGTGCATGTGGTACCAATGCTAATTTGCACATTTTCCTTTTCAGAGAATTATAACCTTGCATCACGCTTGATAAAGTCCCTCTACCCATATGGCAGATTTCTCTATGCACAGGACCGGGGCCTTCTGTGGTGTCGTTTGTTTTTATAGGCTCAGGCAATTGAAGGAAAAGAGAACGAAAGGAAGCTAAATGGCATATCTAATCTAGCTGGGTGCCCATAGGCAAGTCATTCAATTGTGGGTCCCGGGCTCCCTCGACTGAGCGAAGGGGCTGGACTGAATGTGATCTAGGCCACATGCAGCTCGACTGCCAACAATTATAACAGTTAATTTTGAATGGACTGACCTGGTCGATAACCCAGGGACTGTAGAAGTGCCCGTTTTCAGATGGCTGCCACCAGCGGAGGCGAGTAGAAGCAGAACGGGCTTTCAAGGGTATCTCCAGGGCGATGTACCTGCCCACGTTGCTGGAGTTGCTGAAAAGAAACTCTTGAAGGAGACTCCACGACAGGCCGCCATTGAGTGAATACTGGAGAAGCACAGGTTGGCTCCTGGGGTCAGGGACACCTTTACCACATCCCAGTCTCATGAAGAACTGCACAAATCTGAAATGAGGAAGATTTATTGTAGATTTTTTTTTTTTTTTTTTTTTACTTCAGTGAGAAATTCACACTGTTCACAAAAGACAAGCCCACAGGGTCATGGGTGGGGGAGATAAATGCATGGCTTTAATGAATATGATGATTTAATGAATGTCCAGAGCAATCATTTTGAAGTCCGATTTTCCTTTTTAATGTAAGGAAGTTAATAAAATGTGAAGTCTGGAAAAAGGCAACTCTGTACCCATCTTCATATTTTGTCCCCCTCCACAAAGGTGAATCTGAGGGAGCTGAGCACTCACCATACCCTCTGGCCATCCTATAAGAAGATGGGAGGGCTCCAAAGACTCTACAAGTGTGGGAGTGTGTGTTGTTACCTATTTAAGATGAGTTTATCCTTAGTATCTGAAACTGGAAGAATGTTATGTATGTAGTTTATGCCATTAATTGGCAAAATCATCCATCCTCTGGTTTTACCAGTCGTTTTTCAGATCTCCTGTTACCGGTCTGGGGAGACACATTTAAATGCAGAGGTTGTAGCTCCTCTTCGTGAAAGGCCAGGGCTCTTTTGGAAGAGGTGTGTCAAGCCTGGGCCCCTTTTCCATCTTTTGTGCAAGGGGCAGGGAAGCGCAAGGATGGGGGTGGTGGTGAGGGTGGGCTGTGCCAGCCTCTGACTATTGCTGGGTCTGGGATGGATGATACTGGCCATCGAGAAGTGTGGCGGACAGCCAGGGGCAGCCTTCCCAGCTGGCAGGGAGGTGGACGGAGCAGCAGCGACCAGCTGGGGTGCCAACGAAAACTAGCTCACATGTTATCTTTGGCAGGCAAGCTGCTGGTGCCTGGTCTGGCCGCCGTGCTAGCTGGTAATGCAGAATAAATTTCATGTGTAACCCAACACATACGCCCAATTATGTATGCATGTCAAACATGGGAAGCATATTGGGACTTATAATAAAAGTTATCAGTTCCATACATAAAATCATGCGTTCTTCATGGCTTACTCCTCTTCCCCCATCTCCATTAACTAGGCATTCATTTATCTTATAACCCCGAGAAAATTGGGATTTTACATGGAGCATTCTGAGGTCAATGTATGCAAATCCTACACAGCATGCTACTGAGATGAGATAAATAATGGAGCTTTTAACATTGGATTAATGAAAAAAAAATACATAGTTAGTGCCTAGTGGACGTTGATATCTATGAAAACAATAACCATTTATAGAAAAAAAAACCCTTTTGTCCTATTGTCTACTTGTATTGGGAAATGTTTATAGATTAATTTAGTTATGGATAAATCCATGCCAGAATTATTTAGAAAAACCCAGTAATTTCTAAATTAGAGAACTCAACTGCCCATGATAAATCTGAAATAAAGAGCATCAAATTAAACCATGTGCATTAAAATAGGATGAAGAGAAATAAAATTTTGCTATCACTGTAAAATTATCTCACAGAATTGTATTTTTATGATCAAATTTATAATTCAATAAATGAAAGATTTAGGTGAAAGAGGAGAGTAAATATGTTAAGATCTATTTTAAGATACTTGGAAATGTTTTTAAAAAACAAAAACACGACTTCTCTGTTCACTTGCAAAAATAGGTCGGGGTTCCATTTTACACATGTTGAGTTGTCTTCTTTATTTTCCTGGCTAAGTTTTTGGCTTGTCAAATGATCAAGGGATACACATCTTGACAGGACATAATCCTCTGAGCCAGTTTAAAATATTTGTTTCTGAGAGGCTGTGCTCAAATCAGAAAATGAGTGCCTAGAAAGCATGAGCAAATCATTGGAAAGAAATGCTTACAAAGAATAAGGCTACACTTCAAATATTCTTAACTTAAATTGCTAATGGATATAAAATTAATGGTGGGTAATTTGAGGACATATTGTAGTTCAATTAAGCTTTCTACTAAGCATGGTGTAGATAATTTTGTACATGGTCCAAGTGCTCCCGAAAAGTATTCTCTAGAAGGTGGATAAAAAAGATGCAACCTTATTTTCTTGAAGTGAAAGTAAGTGAAACATTGTCATTTCCTCGTCACCATCTTGTAAATATCACCAATCTTGTATTAACTTTTGTCTGTTTAGCTATGTTTCATTTCTGATCTAGCTTATTTCACAAAGCTCCCTCATTTTAGGATGGAAATTACATGAATTGTGTCTTCACAGAGCCTTAGATAAGAGAGAAAGCTCAACATTTCCAATGGAAGGCCTTGCCTTTGAGATGTCTGCTTCTTTCTGATTTGATTACGTTCTGTTACTGTACATCACAACGTGGTTTCTCGACGGCATCTAAAAATGTTTACCTAGCATGTGATAAATCCAGATCTCGTGTCATCAACATGCGCAAGCCATCTTCATTGAAAAAGAGGTTGTTTCCACTGGAAAGGATCCCACACTTCCGAGATGGCTTTCCACCACTCATCAACAAGAATCTATCGGATTCTAGCTGACCTGTAAAAAGTGGTAAAGGTGATTTACCTATGACCCCAAAGACAGTCATACTCTTTTTTAAAGGAATATGGTTAAACGCTTTAGGCAGTTTTGAAATACAAAGTCATGAACACTGAAGTCACATATTTTGGGAGAAGAGGTCTCTTCAACAGTTTAGCTTGTCTGAATTGTTTAACCTGGGCTGTATAATTTAAGGGGCCACATGACAGAAGGGGGGGTGGGGCTTTTCCTGAGTAGCTGTGGTCCAGCCAGATGGGTCCTTCCTCTCAACTCTCCTACACTACAAAAAAATGACACTGGCAGGCAGAGAGTGATTCAGGCCAAAAGTAAGAGAGGGTAATGCAGCTTTTCCACTGGCCTCTTTGCTGTGTCTTTGCTACTCTGAGGACCATGTCAGGCAGGTATTACAAAATATTTTTAAAAACACAGTTTTAATGGAAGAAGTTACAGTGTAATTTAATATTTTCGATTAAATAATGTCTTTTCAAAACCAGCTCACAAATCTCTCCAGATACTTACCTTAGATCTAGGTTTTTTTTTTTTTTTATTGTGGTAAAATGCACACAACACAAAATTGATCATTTTCAACATTTTTTAAAAGATTTTATTTATTTATTTGAGAGAGAGACAGAAAGAAACAGCATGAGAGGGGAGAGGGTCAGAGGGAGAAGCAGTCTCCCCGCTGAGCTGGGAGCCCGATGTGGGACTCGATCCCAGGACTCCGGGATCATGACCTGAGCCGAAGGCAGTCGCTTAACCAACTGAGCCACCCAGGCGCCCTCATTTTCAACATTTTAAAGTGAACAACTCAGTGGCATTTAGTACATTCATATTCATGTTGTGCAACTGTCACGACTACCTAGTTCCAGAACTTTTTCATCACCCATGAGGGAAACCTTATACCCATTGAGCAGTCACTCCCCATCCCCCACCCACCCAGCCCCTGGCAAACGCTAATCTGCCTTCTATCTCTATGGAGTTGCCTATTTTGGATGTTTCACAGAATCATATGATATATATATAGGCTTTTGTGTCTGACTTCTTTCACTTGGCCTAAATGTTTTCAAGGTTCATCCGTGTTGTCGCATGAATCAGTATTTCATTCCTTTGTATGGCTGCATCATACTCCATTGTATTGATATACCTAAATCTAATATTAAATTGTACTTAAAACCATAAATATCTTATAATAATTTTATAAACAACTTGGGAAAAAGAAAGAAATCATTTGATCCCACCATCCTAAAATACTGTTACACTTGTTTAAGACTTTTGTTTTATGAGAATATTTTCCCATTGTTTTATCAGAGTACACATCCAAGTACATTTTTCTATAACATTATCGTCAGACATAATGATGTTAGATTCTAGGTATAAAACTGAGGTACAGAACTAAATGAAGGCATGGGTGGTCGCAGTTGTAGGGACAAACAATGAAATGTTAGACTGGAATTCATGATTACTTCTATATTACAAATTACATTTAATATGTAGGTTCTTTCACAAAGCTACATAGGACTTATTTTAAAAGATTACCTTCAAAATCATCTTTGAGAAAATCGGGATTTTTGGTGCTTATTTTACAGGTAGGACCTGAGTAGCCGGGATCACATATACACTTGGTTCCATTGATACAACCCCCATGTCCATTACACATCTCTTCACATTGGGGACCAATATAGACATTATCGATGGCCCACGTCACTGGCTGAGAGCCAGCAGGGTAGAATCCTTGGTACCATCTGAAACGCACAGATCTGGAAAAGAGGTACAAGTCTTTTAAAATCAAAGCAATACATGTCTTTCTCTGATTGACTTATTTCGCTCAGCATAATACCCTCCAGTTCCACGTGTCATATGACCTCACTGATAGGAGGAATTCTTAATCTCAGGAAACAAACTGAGGGTTGCTGGAGGGGTGGGTGGGAGGGATGGGGTGGCTGGGCGATGGACATTGGGGAGGGTATGTGCTATGGTGAGTGCTGTGAATTGTGCAAGACTGTTGAATCACAGATCTGTACTTCTGAAACAAATAATACATTATATGTTAAAAAAAAAAAAAGAAGAAGATAGCAGGAGGGGAAGAATGAAGTGGGGGGAATCGGAGGGGGAAACGAACCATGAGAGATGATGGATGCTGAGAAATAAACTGAGGGTTCTAGAGGAGAGGGGGGTGGGGGGATGGGTTAGCCTGGTGATGGGTATTAAAGAGGGCACGTTCTGCGTGGAGCACTGGGTGTTATGCACAAACAATGAATCATGGAACACTACATCAAAAACTAATGATGTAATGTATGGTGATTAACATAATAAAAAAATAAATAAAGTCGAAGCAATAGAACAACACAGCTTCAAAGTAAGGACATCTGGTTAAGGAGCAGCGGCCGGTTACTACCTCTGCACCACACTCAAGAAGTAGAAAACTCGATTTGACATTTTGAGAACACAAACTCCATCCCTCAATCTCCAGGATTTTGCCAATTTACGTTCCTGTTTCCTGTAAGCCCTTCCTAATCCTATCACTAGGTCAAATTCCACCTGACCCTCACCTTTTTCAACAGTGACTCCTTTGGGGATGCTTTCTCCATTCTGTCTACACTCTGCGTAACTAATCTTTTTCTTCATAAATTGAGGTAAAATTCGCATAACATAAAAGCAACCATTAGCCATTTAAAGAGTACAACTGGGTGGCAGTCAGCATATTCCCAGTGTTTAGCTAACCACCACCTCGATCAAGTTCCAAGGCATTCTCATCACCCCAAAAGGAGACCTTGTGTCTATTAAGCAGTCACTCCCCATACCATCCTAGTTCCAGCCCCCAACAAACATTAATTCATTTTATTTCCAAGTAAATTGTCCTATCATATTGTTGATGATAGCTTCTTGGAAATAATCTACATATTTAGGTAGTAGTCCAAAAACAATTTAGTATGTTCTATTAGACACAAAATTCAAAGCAGACATTTATTTTTGAGGGGACTCATCTTTGTACCCTATGAATGTGTCCCATTTTCAGTGATCATCGAAACCAAATTCAGAATAATATTTTGAGAAACAGAAATTAGAAGTCAATTTTGGAAGTATTCATTAGGCTTCTAAAGTTTAGTAGATCGTAAAGCAGATGGAGTCAAGTTCCCCAATTTCGTTGTTTATCTCAAGACTCCAACCACACTGAGCTGCACCCAAAATGCCAGTTCATAATTACATTTTATTTTCAAATACTTGTCAGAGTTTAGTCTTGGCAAGAAGCACTTTCTACCCTCTGAACTTTCAGACTGCTGAGCTGAGGGAAATGGCTAGAGTTTTCCTTTGAACAAAAGCCTACATGGATTTTTTTGAACTCCTTATTTATTCAAATGTTCTGAATACAAATGAACCACCTTGGCTGGATATTTATTATTGTTCACCTGCCTTGACACAGAAACTACAAGCACTATGATAAATGGGCTGAAGGGTCTGGTTTCACTGTGCTTCCCTTCTGCTGAATTCTTATTTTGAAAATTTCTCACTGCCACCCTCCCTGGTGAATGTCAGCGTCTGTTCTCCCAAGCCAGTGGTATTCAAAAGGATCTGTTTTTTAAATGTAAACTTAAAATTTCAAGCACATAATGGTGCTTTCTTTAGACAGGGGTTTTGGTTGACTCATTATGAAACTGTATAAAGCAAAAGCAATTAGGAAGTTTTACAGACAGAAAGACTCCTAGATGAAAAGGACACAAAGGTGATGTGAATAAAACTCAATGGAGGCTCAATACTTCATGCTTCAAATGTGAATCGACAAACACGGTCATTTTGTACCCGAAAACATTTCATATGCTCTCTTGGTATCTGGTGTCCACTAAGTGCACAGAAAAGGGTAATTTAAACATGGGTTATGTATATTTTTTAGCATCTAGCTTGTACTGTCACTATGGACCATGTTGAATACAAACCAAGCAATGGTTCACTGAGTTGGAGAAAATTTAACTTTTGCCTTCCAGCAATTCATGCCTGTGTGGGTTTTAAGAAGAGTGCTAATTCTCTTCCCGAAACAAGGACCAGACAACACTATTAAGGCAAATACTTCTCTTCACAGAAATGGTTGAAGGCAGTGTGGAAGGTACGTTTATACCATTCTGAGAGTGGGCATGCCTCTTGGATGGATTTCCTTTCTTTTTATAGAAATAAAAATGACACGGAGTACAAATAACACGATGGCCTAAGTTCTGCACCTTTATCATTGGAGGAGGTATATTTTAAACTGACACTCAATAGCAGTGGGTGAAAATATATACATTTCTAATGTTCAAATTATATTGCCTTATGATTTCTCTCGTTCAGATTTCCAAACTGTGTTTCCTTATGCACCAGCATAGCCCCGTGGACATCACCAATTCTAAGTGAGGTGGTTTCCATGACACTGAAGCAACTGTCCTGTGACTTTATCCCATATTTCTTTAAAGAGGACTGTTTCCATGTGGGAATGCGCTGAAGCAAGTCTCAGTTGTTAAAACAATGTAAATTCATGCCCTACACCCTGTCTTTACGGTGGTTTCCTCGTTAATCCAATTCTTAGCCGAGCAATAGGAGGAAATGAGAGATCCATTAAAGAGAAAATTTGGAGCCTTTCAACAATAACCATAATGGTCACGATCTTGGTCCTAGATGCCTGCGTGATCGGCCTGCAGGCCTTTCTCTGCCTACACTGACCATACGCGTGGATTTTGGGCAGCTAGGCTTCTGTTGCATGGCTTAGCTTTCTGACTATAGCTGATTGATTCAGACTGTCTTTTCTAGAAATGTGGAGTTAAGAGTTCCAGCACATGAGAGTGGTTGTTTGCTGAGTGATGTTAAAGTCAACATGATAAAAATGAGGGTCACACACTCCTTTTGCTGAGGTCCTCATTCTTTCTGAGTGGGGTCCATGAAATTCCCCAGTATGCTTCTAGTAAGTTTTTCCACTTTTTTGGTAAGCCCTTTATATTTCCTGCAACATAGGATCTTAAATAATACAACTGATTTTGGGTAAAAAGTTTTTCCTGAGCTGTTTCTCCCTGCCATATTCTTCTATAGACAATCCTCCCCACTCCCAGCAATAACAGCTTTCTGGTTGTGCCGGCTGAATTGTCAGCTCTGTCTTCTAGAGAACCATGAGGACATTCTGCTTAGTAATGCTTTTTTTTTTTTTTTTAATAGTTGGATTTTCCATTGGGATCATATCCTGGTGTAATAGCAAGAATTAACAAATAACATCCTTGACAGCTCAAAATATTAAAGTCCTTAGCAATCAAATTACAAAAATTATGCTGATGATATGATGAGAAGCAAATGGATTTATGTTCAAAGAGAATGCAGACTTGTGAAAATTTACTTTCACCCTTTTGGAAAAGTACTAGGTATTAGTCGTTTTGCTTGAAGACCCAAGACTTATAATTATGCTGAGTTTCACATTGGGAATGTAAATCTATTTCCATCTTGAAAGTATACTAGTGCTTTCTTCTTTTCTTGACATACCCTGAAAGAACAAGTTTTTTCTTCTGAGAGAAAAGACAAATTCTGAGGCAGCCTGCTTTGTTGACTTCCTCTTTGTTCACTTGCATTATTAGGTTTAGTTTTGGAACTATTCATTTCATTTCTATTAGAATTGAAGTCCTTTATCTCCAAATAGCTTTTCAACAGAAGAGTCAAATATATGATATTTGACTCCAACCACACTGAGCTGCTCCCAAAATGCCAGTTCATAATTACATTTTATTTTCAAATACTTGTCAGAGTTTAGTCTTGGCAAGAAGCACTTGCCAAGACTGCTGAACAAGAATGCTGAAAGAGGTTGGAAATGCAGAAATGCCTGGGCGGGGGGAGAGTGGAACAATTTTTTTTTTTTTATGAGGCACCTAGATTATTCTGTGGGCTTCCATCCTCCCGCTGTGTGCTCTCCCTACAGAAGAGACACAGGTAGATATCTGAAAGTCATAAAATTCTCACTGCATTTATATTGGGAGATGGGGGCAAGCGTGTGTGTGGGGGATTACAACATCAGGAGGAAACCATATTTCTGTTGCTTCCTCATGGATCTAATAAAGACCCGCGGGGGCTATGAATCCCTACAGAGTGCAGCCCATGGTGTACTCTTTTAAATCTCTCTTCAAACTTTAAGTGAGTAGTGTGTCAGCTCAGAGTCCCATGTCTGGAGCCTCCACTGATCTGCTGAAGAGGAGAACTAGGGGGAAGATGCCCCCTGTAAAGTGGCAAGTCAACGGTGACCTCAGGGAGAACACCATCAAAAGAAAAGATGGCGGTGCAAAGTGGCAGGCCCTCACCCGCACAGGTGCAGCTTCCCGAAGTGCACGACCTCCCTCCTCCAGCCCTGGGTGGTCCCTGCGTAGTAGGTGCTGCTCGGGTGGTGCTCAGTGGAGCACAGGGAGCTGATGTGGTTGCTGCCATGGTAGCAGAGGGGTAGCAGCAGGTGCCATGTCGCCCCAAAGTCCCTTGAAAACTCCAGTCTGACTGGATCTGTACATGAGCTATCCGTGGAGCATCCCACATTGATCTGGTGAAAGAAGGAAAAAAAACAAAAAAAGTGATACAAATTACTTCACAGCAATAGGCCTTGAAATGATTCACCACTTCATTATTTTCTTGAGAGTCCGTTTTCCTGGGAACTGCCCTGCTGAAATATTTAACACTATAAAATTCTGTTTTGCCTAACTGAGTAATATCATATATTACCTTCAAATAATAATTTTTTCATAAAGAACCTCAAAGGGCCTCATAAAAAATTTATTTTCCCTCATTTTGTAAAAAGCTAGGAAGTGGGTAAGGCTGGCATGGATTCCAAATTTTACCTCTGGACTACTTTCATAGCCAAGCCAAGCAAATCGTAATGAAAAGACTGTTTCCTTATTTCTAACCATTAACTTTTTTTCAGTCTGTTAGATAGAAAGGCCTTCTATTTTCCTTCCTGTGACACCTTCCAAATAATCCCCAAAGTTCCGCATGTGAAAAAACTTCAATATGTACTCAACAAAATACAATTATTGTCACGATTTCCGTGGCACAGGGAGAGCGTTTTCAGAAAGACCTTCTTAATCATTAGGGAAATAATCACTTCATTCCTTTCTCCATGCTTTCAAGTAAATAAACTAAAACTTAAATAAACGCACGTAATTCTTTCTATGCAATTTTCCCCTCTTGCAATTGAGATTAATATTTTCTTGCTCTTGAAGCACCCGGATATATTTATACTTATAATTTTTGTTGTTGAACTTACTCCTTGTACCTTTTGATGAGTAAACTATCAACATTAGATAAACGTTTCAACTACAGGCATTTGTTTCTACCTAGATCTTCTGATAACACAACAGGGCCACAGGTGCTTTTTTTAAACTAACATTTAAAGCATACATTTAAAAAATATAACAGAAGATTATTTAAGCAACTTAAAATAAAGCTAGAAAATATAACAAAGTTTAAAATAGATACAGGATAATTTCTCTATGACAGCACCACTTGGTCTCTGACTTTTGAGATGCAAGAGACAACTCTAATTTAGAGGCTACCAAGAGTTAATCTAAAGAAATATTCAGAATTTTGTTGATGCAGTCAGGCACTCTTGTAAGCCTTCCTAAAGGCAGCTAGAGATCTCAACTATGAAACAAGCATTTTTGAAAATTAGTACTATTGAATGCTGGCACAATGCACCCTTGGTTCTGCTGATTTTATCTAAGTCTTGAAATACATAAAAGCTTTTCTTTTATACATTATTAATTTGCTCTCTTCCAAATTATAAGGACTCCATGAATATTAATGAAATACACAAAAATTATAAAAATAGTGTAGTGTTGTTTTATATGTAAAATTCATGGCACCATGATAAATATTATATAAATGTGCCGGCATGGTATAACAGTAGTTACACTGACTGGGTCTTAGGTAACACATAAAAATTGTGAAGACAATAATATTAGAATAATATGGCCCTTTTCATTTTTATAATGTTTAAAATAATTTATTTCAACAACTTCCCATTGTAGTAGGTAGGGAGATTGTGTCATAAATAAAGGTCAAATATTCAGAAATAAACCTTAATAGGACAATTGGTTCTGCTAATAAAAATGAATTATGATGTAAAACCTCTTTTGTCCTTGCACAAAAATGGAAAGTCATAATGCATGAAATTATCTGAGATTTTCCTTCTCTTTCCTGGCTTTTTGTTCAAGATAAAATTTAAAGCATTTCTGATAGAACAAAGTCAAGTACCTCAAATTGTATGATGGTGTTCTCATTCACATCCAGGTCACGAGTGGTAATAGAATGCTCACCAACTTCATTTGAAACAAATACCATAGCTGAATCTTCCTCGCTGTTAGAGAAGAAAACAACAAGAAATCCATTTGGGCAAAAGTTCATCGTGATTCGTAGAGAGCAATGGTTTTATTTTAACATCTCAGTTAAAGACTTACGGAGCTCCTTTTGAAGAATATGGACAATAAAGGCCAATGTTACCACCAGGATAGAAAAACCAATTGTCTTCTCTGGGTCCAAAGTCAAATGTATCCAGGAGCATCAGAGGGTTGTTTAGATTATTACCATCAATAATGAAGTCATCAATGATCCAGATTTCTTCTTTCTTACCTAAGGCATTTTTGGATTAAAAAAAAAAGTTTTCCAATGGTGGAAATTGGAGGGACATTTTTGCTCTTTGGAAGAAAGTAAAGGACAGAAAGGAATCAGTAACAACAGGTTAAATATATGCCTTTGAGACAGAGAAACACAAACTATGCAACAGTGTATTTATAGCGATTGAAGTATGAAAGAATCAAGCTGTCAATCAATTCAGAAATTGTGCTCCCCTCCCAGTCCCAGTGGGGTGGTGCTACAGACCCTCCGCTGCCAAGAATGGGATTTGAATTATGTTTTCATGGTTTAGGAGGACCTGTAAGATACCTGAATCTGTGAGCACAGGTGGTCAAGCCTGCGGATTTAAAACTGAGGTATACTAGTCGATTCGAGGAGCAACTCATGACCTTTCAGAGTCAGCTCATGATGTAGCATCATGCTACGGTCAGGCCGAAGGACTGTGGTCATGAAAACCCTGGCCTGATGCATAATTTAATTTTTAAAACTACACAGAAGATACTCTGTGTTATATACATTTTTTAATGTTTTTCCAGAACTTTTATGTTTATTTGAAGATATGTGGAACTATCCAGAAAACTAGTTAAAATCACTCTGTAGGCTGTCATAGAATTTGATTCAGCAACACAGGCTGGGTGTGAAGGAAGATACCTACAGAGTAAGGAGGAGGGCAAACCCAGGCTGTCTTTGCAAAACGCTGTTTGGACTCAAGGAGACAAGGAGATAAGACCATGCCAAAGCATATATAAAATATATATAATTTGTAAACAGGAGCTTGTAGAAACAACCTGGTGATTTAAATGAAGTCACATGTGTCTCTCTCCCTCTAATCCTATCACTGTTCTTTCTTTTTTGGTACATTCTTTTTTTGTTTTTAAAAGATTTTATTCATTTGAGAGAGAAAGAGAGAGAGAGAGAGAGAGCGCACAAGCAGAGGGAGTGGGAGAGGGAGAAGCAGGCTTCCTGCTGAGCTGGGAGCCCGACGTGGGGCTTGACCCCAGGACCCTGGGATCCTGACTTGAGCTGAAGGCAGACACTCAATGACTGAGCCACCCAGGTGCCCCAGCTATCACTGTACGAATTCTAGTAGCTTTCTTCTCTTTTCTTGTTTTGGAAGCAGTTGGTGAAAACAATAAAGTAAAAGGTAAGTAAAATTCCAATCATAACATGAAGACAATGATGCTCTGGATTGTGAAACTTGGCTGCATTTATTTATTTATTCATTTTTACTTTTATTTGGTGATTATAAAAGATTATTTTTTCTGTTCATATTAAGGTAAAAATTATTTCTGGCTTACTAGTATAAAGTAAATACTCAGGTTAAATTTTAGAGATAGCGGTACATTTTTCTTATTCATTTCTGTGTTACCTCTGCAAAGAATATGCTTAATGGGATATCTCCATGCTTACTCAGGCCATTAAATGCATGATTTGGTAGAGTCTGGTCCTTTATAATCAGCAGTTAATAGAAATATTGGAAGCAATAAAACATTACAAATTTGTAGAATCATTTTCTGTAGCCATCTGAAAAATGCTGTTAAATTATACATTCACTTTAACTTATCACGGAAGCAGGGGTATGTGATAAGAATATTTTATCTAAGGCACTTTCTGCTTGGTGTAAGTCCCTGTCACTTTGTCATGGTATTTTGCTGCAATGTTGTTCTGTCTCACTAATGAAATGCCCACACTCAGAAGAACTATTTATTCCCAAATGAATTCAGCAGGAATGTAGTTACAATTGAGGAGTGACTAACGATAATGCTACGTTTTTTTAAAAAGATTTTATTTATTCATTTGAGAGAGTGCACCCATGAGCAGGGGGGAGGAGCGGAAGGACAAGCAGGCTCCCCGCTGAGCAGGGAGCCCGAAGCAGGGCTCAATCCCAGGACGCCGAGATCATGACCTGCGCTATAGGGAGATGCTTAACCAACTGAGCCACCCAGGCAGCCCAACGCCCAATTATTTTTTAAAAACCTTAGCTCTGCAAGAGGCTTTAGCTATATTTACGTCATCAAGAGAACTTATAAGTCAAGTACAAAGAGACAATAAAGATACATAAATTTAAATATTCATTGAGACTCCTCTAGGTGAAATGTGTGTTATGGACAATGAAACTACTCAGTTGACAAACCCTTCCTCCACATCTTGGAAACAAACATGTTAAAATGCCATTGTCAGTTTTGATCATAGGCGAACATGTGCATTCTTACCATTATTATAAGGTTGCCAGAGTCTGAACCTTGTCGCATTGGTCTGGGCAGTATATGGCAAGGGAACATTAATGAAAAGTATGTTGGTTGTCTGAGGGAAGTAAAATTCGTCCATCAGGTGCCAAGTGATTCCCCCATTGATAGAGAATTGTAATAGAATAGAGTGAGACCTCTCCGGGGTACCTAGAGAGAAGACACCACAGGCATAAAACATGTTGTGATAAAAGTAGGGAAATGGTATGTTCTAAGACTATTTTTTTGGCATCGATGCATAAAATGACTTATATTCCCCTAGAGGCTTTAGTCCAAAATGCTTCAGAGGCAGCTTCAAGCACTGTCAGGTGGGGCTTTCTGGATGATTGTATCTCAAAAAGCACACCAGATCTCAGATTTTCACACAACAGTATCTCCCTCTCTTTCTCAGATATGAACACAGATCTTTCTGTATTTCATTCAGGAAATCGTATATCAGAGAATTTTGCTTCCACGGGCATCACAATTTTACAAATGGTCAAACACTTAAATCTCAGGATACAAACAAAAATCTACTTGAAAGCTTCTTATATACAAAGGGCATTATTTGTCGAGGAAATGACGTAGTTAATATGAAAGGTCATAATGGCAAAGAGCTGTCTTTTGGGGGTTCACACCTATAAAAGAAAATCCAAAATGTCCATAAGCTAAATTTTTAAAATTTAAAATTCTTACACCTAGGAAGTTGTGGTGGAAAAAAGACTCAGGGACAGAATGATAAATCTAGCTACCACAGAATTAGTATGATTACTACAGCTATACGAAATTTTTTGCAAAATCAGTAGTTGTCTTACCCTTATATTAAGATGAATTTACATTATAGAAGCACATCTACGAACATTTATTTACTCATATTTATGTCAGCTCTTCCATGTAACAGAACTTATGGGCCTCAAATCTATCATTTCTTTGTGGGGGAGGAGTTGTGGAAGGCAAGGGGGAGTTCTCTTGAAGGGAAATAATGAATTCTACCCATAGAAACAACTTACCTTTTGCTATAAATCTAAGTGAAAACTGGACATACATAGTATTGGTACAATCTAGATCTCTTGAAATAAGCATCCTCAGTCCTTCCTGAAAACACAAACATATACGTTAAACAACCTTATTTCATCTGCAGAATTATTTTCCTTTGACTTTTATACACCTAACTTGCATTAGCTAAGTAATAGATACATACATGTAATGATCCAGAAGCAACGTTGGGTCCAGTTGAAAAGGAAAAATGGATCATTTCCCCTTTCTTAAGGCTTTCATTTCTTATGACTGCGTAACCCAATTTCATTGTCTCAACTCGACATCCCACTTTGCTGTGACTTTTATAAAAAGCAGTGCAAAAATGACAGCATTACCTATCCGCAGGCCTTTTTAAAAAGTAGCTTCCTTTGACCGCAGCACCCCATAAGAGGAGTAATGAGGAAACAGATGGAAATTCTCTGCCAAGTGCTCCTGCTGGAAGTTGGGAACTAAGAAGTAACTTTTTCAGTGTTCCACGGAGTCGTAGGGACTTACTACTCCTTTGTGCACTCTGACCATGCTGGGAGGCTTTCATCCAGGCTGACACAACACCCTCCCGTTGGTCAAGTTAAATAAGGCATGACTAAGTGAGTCCCCATGCCTCGGCTATAACTGCTCATGCAGAGAAGCCAAAGAAGGAAGAAAGCAATCACATTAGCTTTGGTAATTTTTTCTGCTAATTAACTATTTCTGGTTGCCTGGGACTGACAGCCCCATAGCTTGTTTTCTCTGTGTGTACACAGGACTGCAGTGACAGCCAGTAAAATAGAATTTCACTATGCAAATGTCCTAAGGTACAAATAAGCCTTTTAGCATCTTAGCTCTGACTTCTGAATGAAGTGACTCTTCGGTGGTATAAGACTGTGTGATACTGAGTGGACCCTTCCTTCCTTCCTTCCTTTCTTCCTCCCTCCCTCCCTCCCTCCTTTCCTTTCCAGATTTATTTATTTATTTGAGAGAGAGAGAGAATGAGCAGAAGGGGCAGAGGGAGAGAGAATGTGAAGCAGACTCCTTGCTGAGCAGGGAGCCTGAGGCAGGGCTCAATCCCAGGACCCTGAGATCATGACCTGAGCCAAAACCAAGAGTCTGACGCTTAACCAACTGTACCACCCAGGCACCCCTGGATTTCTTAATTGTCAACTAACAAACACCAAATGTAATTTTAGCTACAGAAAGCAAATTCGCCCTCTTTCTCTTATTACCCAGCACAAAATCCTCAATAACTGATAAACTTTAAATAGAACTGATTTTCTAATAGCAACCGTATTACTGAATTATTCAATGCCTGTAATATGCCAGGTTCTAAAACAGACACCTTTTTCCTTTAACACACATCGCACTCGTAAGGGCAAGATATTATTATCTTTATGATGCAGAGAAGGAGGCTGGAACTCAGAGACAGTAACTTGTTCAAGATTGCAGAGAAAAGTGTTGATGGCAGAATTTGAGCCCAGATACGTCAGACTGTGTAACTTATCTTCCAGCCTTTATAGGATACCAGTGTTTCGTTTATTAAATCATCTTTTGGTTTTGGGAGAAGAAATCCAGATAGTGTTAAATTTGGAGTTTGAGAATTATTTAATACTGTCATGAAAAAGTAGCGGCATGTATACCTGTCCCTGAACTTCACAAAGCATCAATTCAAACTTCCAGGATTGAAGGTTGCCCTGTAAAAGCCTTATATTTCCAGTCTTTGTTGTTTTTTATTTTTACCCTAATAACTCACTGCCCTGCTCAGTCCATGACACCTGGTCAATGCCTGTTCTTCATGTTTCACTGTTGAGAGACACTCTCTCCCTTGTACCCTGACAAGCACAAAGTCTTTAATGGTTTTACATCTTGGTGCCACGTGGAGGTTGAGGTGATGAGGAAAGGTGGCTTCTTCAACTTGCAAGTAATAAGCTTTGAGGTGGGTAGCTGAAAGATCCAGCTAATAAAGATCCCTTGCTAACATCAAGTTAAGGGATTATGATGACTCTTCCCCCTCGATTATGGAACTTAAGTATGAAATTGTTCCCACGGGCAAATACATATCAGCCATCAAAGGACCATTGCACACTGCATCTTGTAGGAACAGTGATGTTGAAAGTGGGCACAATGTATATGAAAGTATCTTTCATGTTTGTAGTATTTGCTTGTAGCTCAGCACTTGATATTAATTACATGGTGGAAATGTCAAGCCCTGCTTCTGTGCATTTTCTAGTTCATACGGATAGGTTTCTTTTCTCATCTCTTTTCCAGGTTCATTAATCCATCTGTGCTAAATGTGGGCGTTCTTTGGCATCAAGAGCTATTTTAATAGCTGATAGTACTCCTGAATCTATAAACATTCAAGAGAGACGATCATTTCCTTTTTAATGAAAGAATGCCTTTCTAGGTCAAACTGCACCCTACTGAATGGCCCACTCTACATCTTGCAGAGCTGACAGGCAATACATCTTAATACATATAATGCTTGGTTGCTCTTGCATTTGGAGGGCTAAAGGGAAAACAGAAAACACTCTGTGTCTTCCTTCTTCTTAGGCTCTAGGGACCAGGTTAATCCCACTGCTTAAAAATTTATCAGGTAAAGATATTTAAATCATGAAAAGTCACAGGGCTCCTGCTTTTAGGTCTTGCCAATGCTACAAGCAGATCGGAAGTGAGTTAGTGGTAATCAGAGCTAATGCCTCCGACAAGACTGAAAAAACACACACACAAAAACCAGCAGTTTCCATCCTGAAATGTCCTCCCTCAATTTCTTCAGCCTCTCATACCTCTTGGGACTTGTAAATCTCTCCAACCCCTAAGTGTTTTTTCTCTCTCATCCAAACTGGAGAAGAATTTGGGATTTGAACAAGGATGACAGGCAGCATCTATCAGCTATAATTAAAAAAGTTCCATTGGATGCCTAGGTGGCTCACTCAGTTAAGCATCTGCCTCTGGCTCAGGTCATGATCCCGGGTCCTGGGATTGAGTCCCGCATCGGGTTCCCTGCTCAGTGGGAGGTCTGCTTCTCCCTCTGCCCCTCCCCCCAGCTTGTGCATGCACATGCGCTCTCTCACAAAAATAAATAAATGAAATGTTAATTTAAAAAAGTTCAGAGAGAGGGGCGCCTGGGTGGCTCAGTCATTAAGCGGCTGCCTTCAGCTCAGGTCATGACCCCAGGGTCCTGGGATCGAGCCCCACATCGGGCTCCCTGCTCCACAGGAAGCCTGCTTCTCCCTCTCCCACTCCCCCTGCTTGTGTTCCTTCTCTTGCTCTGTTTCTCTCTGTCAAATAAATAAATAAAATTTAAAAAAAAGTTCAGAGTGTCTAATTTTCTAAGCGTTAGATGTTAATCATGAAGGTTGTACAAGAACCCATGCAGATTTTTGTTAGATTTCATTTGCACACCTATATCAGCTGACTTCCCCATGCTGGGAGAGACGGGACATAGCATGTATTCACACAGAAAGATGTGCCAACCAGTACAGTGTTTCACACAATTGCTTAACATCTCTCTCACCAGACATCTAGGCTGAAATACAAAAATAGACTAACAATGTTTGAGAATGCTTTTTCACTTGATTCAAATGTTTGGTTTTCTTAAAGTCACTAAAGGGTTCTATTGGCAGGAAGGAAACGAAAAAACAGAAAGGAAAAAGCAAAGACCTTTTATAAAATCATTTTTTTTAGTTCTGCAAGTTATATATTCAGTAACACATAAAATGCTACATTCTAGAATTCAAGATCCTAGAAATTGCATACGCATAATTTGCGTGTGTGTGTGTGCATATATATATACGCACACACACATATATAATTGCAGCAGAAAGTAATGAAGGTCTGATCACCAAAGCAGAAGAAAGATTTTATGCCTAAGTGATGCTAAAGAATGATTATGCTGAACAGAGGAGAAAACATGGTCTGGGCTAGAAGATAACAGCTATGTATAAAATAATGCACCATCTGAGCAGGTTCAGAAATGCATTTGTGTGGAGCAGTGAGGGAAGGAAGGAATCGCAGTAGCAGAGTAGAGAAGTAGAATCTTATCTGACCCCTTTAAAAATAAGTGATGTTCCAGATTTGATGGTTTCACCATTCAGATTCCCCCTCTCGGCACCATACACTTCAGGCCAAAGATCGGGATGTAGGTTTCCGTTGAAATCATCCTTAAGAATCGAGGGCAGAGGAACGATGGGCACACAGTAGGTGCCACCAAAGCCCCGGTCACATCTAAGAGAAAAAAGGGAGTGGAGGAAAGGCATTATCTGTTGTGAGTTTGAAAGCCGTTTTTGTTTTTGCATCATAAAAAAGAAACTGCCAGGTTCACTGACTTACACACAGTGTCCAGCATCGCAAATCCCTCGTCCTGAGCACAGCCAGGGGCACCCGGAGGCCAGCACAACATTATCAATGGCCCACGCGTCAGCCCCCACAGTGTAGTTGGACTGAATCCATCGGAACCGGGTCCTGGGAGATCTAACCAAAGAAAACACACTTGGTTCGACAAGCACCCTTGAAAGCAGGAGAACATTTCTTTTAACTCCCCTTTCACTCTGAAGAGCCCTCCTCCAAGTTCTAGTTCCCTCTTGGAGACACTTAGTTCTCACACCAAGTGTTGGATGCTCTTTCCTGGTGAACCCACCAACGAGTGTAGAAAACATGGTTTGTAAATACCTCACACTTCCTTTCATACAAGCGTCCCCCAACTCGCCTGGGATGGGAAAGTTATCTCAGACTAGCGATTTATTATGTGTTTGAACTACGCACCGAATCTGGGGTTTTGCTTTCAGGCTTTTCCTGCCATTTAGGACGAGGAAAGAGGCAGCATGGATGAGAAACACGAGGAGAAGCTGGAATCTCATGAAGTTCTGGGCGTGAGGTCTCTGCGTTACTGTCCCTAAATGGTTTCTGAGACAGGAAATGTAAACCCCAGGGAAGTTCTGCCTCCGTGTTGGTGCCTGAGAGGTGAGGGCCAGACGATATGATGCACGCCCACATTTTCCATTCTATTTGCAATCTGCTATTTGGAATTTACTGTCAGAAGATCACCTTATCCAGAAATACATGCAGCCTGGGCCAAACTGCAGTAGCAGCCCCTCGCTTAGGAACAGGCTGCACAGCAGAAGTCGGTGAGTCACTTATTTGGAATGTGGAATCTTGAAGTTGAATTTCAATAGTAACATTTCAAGTGCCATTGTTTCCCCACACAAGTTCTCCCTCAGTGCAACACAGCTGCTGGTGTGGTGGCTTTCCCTCCACTTAACACCCTCCCAGTGATTCCCCAAAGAAGGGAAGGTCCAGGCCACGCGGCAGCATGCCTTCCCACAAGCCCTCTTCACCCCGACAGGCTCTACTCGCTTATTCAGTTCAGAGATGGGCCCCTCCAGGAAGCTCCCTCAGATTCCTGAGGTAGTACTCCCCACCGAGTTTCAATAACCTCCCTGAGTATTATCAATGTCACCATTTTATATCATAAATAACTGCTGAGATGTCCACTATCCTAAATAAGATCTTTGGATCCTGGCGTCAGCTTATTCATTTTGCATTAGAGTTCTAAAACACAGTAGATATTCAATAAATGTTTGTTGAATAACAATAAAGCGAATAAATGAGCTCCCAGTAAGCACTCTTTAAAGCTCTGGGGGTCCACAGGAAACCATTTTAGGTTAAATGCTAAAATGCTTTGGTTTCCTGCATTTTTTCTTCTGCCATTTGGTTGTACATCTCTCAGTCAGAATCGAATCAGCAAAATGGAAACCACTGTGAGTATTTAACCTAGACAGAGTTAACACAAGGACCTGGAGGTACGGTTAGTGCCAGAGCTGAGAAGCCAACAGGGGCGGTGAGGACACCAGAGCTGAGCAAAGCTGGGAAGCCGCTACAAGTCCATGCTGGAGGGACACAGGGAGGAGACAGTGTTGCTTGTGCCCAGGGGCCAGGGTCCCACGGGGGGACCATCTCTGGGGCGCAGGAGCCACCGAAGTTGGCCAAGATGCACTTGAGACAGAAAGGGAGAGGGAGGGATACCCTGTTTTATCTCTGTTTCCACTCTGCTTATCTTGCCAGGTTCTGCCACTAAATCTATCAGGAAGCCAGCAGATGCAGGAGCCTGGTAAACACAGCCTGCAGAGGCCAACTTGCCTATAATTCAGAACAGAGTAGTGGCAGGGCGAGGCAGGGACCAGAGGGGAGCAGTCCCAGGACGGCACGATCTCTAACCAGCCACCCCAGGACACACCAGTTCCTAGAAAGATCCCCAAATTATCCCAATGCCTAAACCACAAACCAGGGAGCCTGCTGTAAGCCCTAATACAACTCTTGAATGTGATCTGAAGTCCCAGGGAGGGGAAGAAAGAGCTAAAAACAGTATGAGCGTTCCAAAGGACCCAACTTTTTACTCTCACTGTGGTACTGAGAATAAAGAAAAAAAAAAGAAACCAAGGCTACTATTCTTCCACATGTGATGATTTCACATACTGCTCCATGTGAACAAATATCACTCTGGTTATTGGGTATTTTTACAACAGAACAAGATTATTTTTACAACTGAGTCTGGTGGGCAGCCTTCCTGTTGCCAAAGAACAGAAAAGTTCAGGCCCGTAAAACTTTTGGAACTCACCAACACATTAAAAAATTGCAACCCCAAGCATCTTGCCCTCCCCCCCCCCCCCCCCCCCCCCCCCCCCCCCCCCCCCCCCCCC